AAAGGATAAGCCTGAGGCTGCTGGGTAGAAAAGTTGATGTTACAAGGAGAGCTGACCAGCTTGGCTTTTAAAAATTTTTTAATTTTTAATCTCTTACATGGTTCCATGGGTCTGGTTGAAAAGAAGTGAGGAGATCATGCAACATTTTAGGTTATCATTGGATTTTTCATGTTTTTAGGTAAATAAATAAAGCCCATCACTATCTCTGCCACACAGCATAGAAAATGACCTCTCTCTGAAAGCAACTTGAGTCTCTCTGACTGGGGTCAACTTGGGTTGGGGGCCCAGAGGAGGACTCGGCCAGCATTCCAAAGGGCACTTAAGGCATTGGCATTTCACTCTTCCTCCGCCAAGCTGTGGGGGGTTGTGAGGTTGTTTGGGCCAAGGCCCTGTGTCCAGAGGGCAGTTTCCTCATTCTAAATAGCTTCATACCGTCCTGTTCTCACACACACAAAAAGAAATCTGACCAAGAGGAAGTGAAAAAGGAAAAATCTTTGACTCTGAAATACCCAGAAGAAAGCTAAAGTGAGCAGGTTTCAAGGACCTAGCAGCTGAAGTCCATGAAAACAATATCTACTCACTGACAATGACCAAGCTGGAAACTACGTACCACATCCTCTAGGAGAGCTGCTCCTCATTTATACACCTTGTGGTAATAGACAGTCACTTGGATCAATAGTTTCCTGAGATCAGTGTCCACATCCAAAGAGGAGGTGCTTAGAACTCAAGAAGCATCTCGGAGCCCAGGGTTCCTGAGACCTCGTGGGCAGGGGCAGGAGGGACTGACTTCCTGAAGGGAGGCATGTGCCTGTGCACCCCCTTCTCCAGCCCTGCTCTGGGAGTCATTGGTGCCCTTCCCCTGCAGATCCTGACTCATTCAGGCCTAGAGTCTATCCAGATAGAGTGGGAAACCCAGCAGAACCTCAGTCCTCCTACTAGGTGGAGCCTAGAAGTTCAGGTACCTTTTTTCAGTTCCAGAGTAACTAGGGCTGACTAAGGACATCTCGTTACCCACTTCATTCCCAGTAAATAGCCAGGAAGCTACTTAGTCAGGGGTGAGGGAGGATGGTTGGTCTTCTCTGAGGAGATGGTGATGAAGCTGAGAGGACTGGGGGTGGGGGGTGGGTGTGAATCTGGATTAGCCAGTAGAGGGAGAGCAGACAACTCCCCATGGAGAGGGCACAACATGCCCAGGACCTTGGGTTGGGAAGACGTGTGACTTATCTGAAGATCTGAAAGGAAGCCATGTGGCTACGTGCAGAGACTGGGGGAAGATGGATGTATTCAGAGACCCAAGTAGTGCCAACAACTGGGTGCTAGTCGCTGCCTGTCAGGCACAGGGGCACATAACGGACTTTGAACATGATCTTCCGTGGAATAGGCAGCTGTTAACGGTGAGATGATCCCATTTTCATTTTTAAAATCCTTTAGTTTCTGGGTGGTGAGAAAATTGGAGAAGAGGATGTGGGGAGAAGAGTTAGGATGTGCTGTGGTCTAGGTGAGAAATGGTGGTGGTGGCAGTGGAGAGGGGTAAACGTGAGCAGGAGTAAGGTCTGCTTAGGAAGTGGGACAGAGAGGACTTGGTGGCTCGTTGGCTATGGGTAGTGACATGCAGTGAGATGTCAAGGCAGGCAGGCTTCTGGTGGGGCCTCTACTAGACGCTGGTGCCACTCACAGTGATTAAACAGGCAGAAGAAAGCAGAAGGCAAGAATCAAGGCAAAAGACAAATGGCAAGCCCTATGTACCAAACAAGAAAGAGACTAACTTCTGACCGAGAAATGGGGAAAGGACAGTGACCTTGAAGTTCCTAGTGCAAATGGCCATGAAACAGAAAAAAAATATTCAACTGATATCCAAAACATGGAGATTAAAATATCTAGGCTCCATTTAATGCATCACATTGGCAAAGGGAAGAAGAAGGAGAAGGAGAAGGAGGAGGAGGAGGAGGAGGAGGAGGAGGAGGAGGAGGAGGAGGAGGAGAAGGAGAAGGAGAAGAGGAGGAGGAGGAGGAGGAGGAAGAGGAGGAGGAGGAGGAGGAGGAGGAGGAGGAGGAGGAGGAGGGGAGGAGGAGGAGGAGGAGGAAGAAGAAGGGAGCCCGCTAATGCCTCATATTGATGAGAGCATGAGGAATTGGCATGTCCATATATTGCTGGTAGAAATATAAAGTGATGCAGTATTTTGTGGGAGGCAGTTAATATTTTTTTAAGTGTTAAGCTGTATATATGCACAAATATTAGGGTATATTTACCACTAGAGAAAAATTGGAAACCACCTATATGTCAATCAGTAAGAGATTAATTGTGTATCTATGTAACCACTTAAAAATAAGATTAAAATTAGTGTGAATAGTATGATCCCATTTGGTAAAGTATCTGGATGTGTTGTTTGTGGATGTCTGTGTGGGGGGTATTTATCCTAGAAGGTTGAGAAGGGAATATATCTAAAATCATATTGTGAGTGGTAGGTGAGTTTTTTTATATTTAATGTACTTGGGTAAGATGAAAAAATAATATTTTAAACAAAGAGAAGACAATAACTGCAATATGACAGAAACTGTGATTAAAGTGTTATCAAAGGGCCAGGCTGGCATTGCTCAGTGGATTGAGCATCCTCCCATGCATCAAGAGGTCACTGGTTCAATTTCCAGTCAGGGCACAGGCCTGGGTTCCAGGCTCAATCCTCAGTAGGGGGTGTGCATGAGGCAGCCAATCAATGTTTCTCTCTCATCGATGTTTCTGACTCTCCCTTTCCCTTCCTTTCTCTCTCTCTCTCTCTCTCTCAAAACACACACACACACACACACACACACACAAACAAACAACAACAACAACAAAATATTAAAAAATGAAAGTGTTACTGAACGGAACCCAGGGATGGGAGTGACAAATTCTGACTCGGGTGGCTGGAGAAGGCTTCCTGGAAGAGGTGTCATTGGATGGAGTATGAATAATCAGAGTTATGTTTGTTTGGTTTTTCTGTTTCTGCACATATTCAAGGAGACATGGGAACTTGACAAAGGCAAAGCCTGAGCCAATTGTGCAGGCCTTTCCCTGAGTTTGCTCTCTGGTCATAAGAATTCCTGCCAATCAATTTTAAACCAGATGACAGGAAGTGGAAGCTTAGAGCTCTAGAAAGACACCAGCAGCTTCGGCCAGTGTGCCGTGCAGTCACTTTGCCACTTTCCCCTAGCCCCCAGACCCAGTTGGGATTTTATCCTCATTGGCAGTGGCAATGGCATTCCTGGACACTCTGCTATCAGCCCTTTCTAGTTCCTTGGTTACTATCTTGAATCTTTGACTAAAGAATCACTTTCACTTCACATTTTCTCAACTTGGTTTTAGCAATTATGCAGCTTCTTATCAAAGTGCCCTTTTGGGAACTTAAATATGCATTGATACGATCTACTTACTTACTGTGTGGAAAACCCGGTGACCTGACAGAACGGAATGACCTGCCTGGATTGGGAAAAGGAGCTTAATTGGTGGCCTGGTGCCATGGAATTGCAAATTTGGGGTTTGATGAGGACTGGAAGGGAAACTGAATACACTCTCAGAGCACAGGGTCAGGAGTGGGCTGGTGGGCCCACGTCCCAGTGACTTCAGTTATTAGCGGTGTAACCTCAGGCAACTCTCTGGACATATAGTAAGTGTTAATTGATTTTGCTGTTTCAGCTTTGAGATGTGACTTTGGTTCTAAAGTCTGGCTGCAGCATAGTGAGGGAGCTGAGACCATCCCTCCCCAGAGAAAGTAGGCACCACTGGGAGCAGGGTGGTACAGGGATGAGCATTTAAATTTCAGAAGTTATTTTTTTAATGAGTACTAAAAATATACATATACTCACAGCACCCAAACCTATGACTTCATAGATAGTTTATATAGAATTGGCGTGATTCAGAATTCCTTTAAATTTGTTAGCAACCATTTTGCAATTACGGAATCTTTCTTAGTGGCAAGGTTGCCTTCCACTGGACCGCAGAGAGAAGGGGGAAAGAAGTAAAGAGCTACTGGAACTTTTAAAAAATCCATTAACAATAAAGTTAAGCAAAAAAATGTGAATTGATTTGGGAAAATTAAATGATAGCAGAGGTAAGATATCAATATAGTGAAAATGGTACCAAAATGACCGCAGCAGGCCGTGGCTGGGTCACTGAAACTCACTGATGGCAGTTTTCTCATCGGTAGTATCTCTCAGGGTGGTTATGAGGATCATGAGATAATGTCTATAGATACTGTTGGCTCAATCGATGTCACATAGCAGGACTCAAATAGATGAGTTTCTTTCCCTTTTTAAGTTAAAAGTGACCTCTCAGATTGGCCAGTGTGGTTTCCTTGTTTTCCAGATGAGGTACCTGAGCTCCAATGGGGGAAAGACCAGCTGAGGACTCCTGACTAGACTCAGATGTGCACAGGGCCTACCAGGGACCTGAAAAGTCTTAGGGAGACTGACAAAGGCATGGGAATCAAAATGGGCCAATAATGCAGGCCACAGTGATGGGGTAGCCCTGGGGACAGGGAGGGGGGATTACTGATGGGCAGGGTGCTTTTCAGTATAGTGCACTGTCACAGCCCTTCTCCACAAAATGGGAAACTCTATGTATAAAAGAAAAAAAAATGGAAAAATACCCAAAATGTTAGATGTAAGTAGAGGAAGTGGCATTTTCCTCTGCTCTATTTCTCCTGGTATTTAATGGTGCTTTGCATTTTGGCCTCAGTGAACAATAAAAGTAACTCCCAGAATGATTGGAAGGCTGAGTTTTCAGTAGCAAGAGTTGGGCACCATCAGTACCCTGTTTGTCATATAACTACCCAGTATCATACTTCATCTCTGATTATCTCACTTCATTTTTGAAATCATTCCCTCCTTGTCCCTGACCATTAGCAATTTTCCCATTTACCTGGGATCATAAGTAGTTGGTAAGCAATATTAGGTATAAACCGATGATGCATTTGAGTCCAGCAGTCTGGAGGGATTCATTGTCCTTCTCTTCTTGTTTTGCAGATGGAAACACTGAGACTCAGAGAGGGCTGGTGATCTCTGCGGCACTCGGGCAGCAGGTAAGTGATAATGCTGAAAGTGAGCCTGACACACGATACAGGTCTCGTCGCCAATCTCTGCAGCCCGTTGTCTCAATCTTGTGACTTTTCTGATTTGTGCAATTCAAGTCAGGAAGTAAGATGAGTTGTTTTGAGGCGTTTAGGTATTATTTGCGCTTGCGGTTTCTGTTTGTTCCTACCGTCGGCTTGGAACGTTAACAGGCGAGTCTGTGAAGGCCTCTCAGGCATTGCCTGGACCAGATGGGATCTGTCCCTGAGAATGGCAGAGCTCATTCAAACCTGGCCCAGGTTGTGCCGAGTGTGACATCATTGAACCTTCAATAGACACAACTGCTGTGTCTAGAACAGAGAGCCCTGAACTAGGGTGTCAGGGGACCTGGGTTCCAGTCCCATCATAAGCTGCTCTGTGACCTTGAACGAGCCACTCAACTCGTGGTGTCCCTCGCTTTTCATTCTTTCTTTTAAACTTTCCCCTCAGAATATCCAGTGCCAGACTCTGTGCCAGGCATGGGGGATAACACGATACATACGACGCAGGCTTTGCCCTTGAGGCACGCATTGCCCAATTGATGAGCTCTTCCATTTCTTCATTACTGTCTCATCGTGAGAATTGCTAGCATCTGCTTTGGTGTTTACAATCAGTAGAACATTTTGCTATCTTCCCCGAAACTCCATAAGATGAAAAAAAAAAGTGATTTCTCTTTTGCAGAGGAGAAAATGATGGCTTAGAGAGTTGGCCAAGGCCACATGGTGAATAAGGGTTAGCATTGACCTTGAAATCCAGAGCAAATGTTTCTGCCAAAAGCCACTGCTTCACCTGATGGCTGGAGGACTTGAGCAGGCATTTTAGTGACTCTGCCCCTCAGCAGGGGGTCAATGTTGGGGTGACCAGCACTAGGACGGCCCCCATGCCGATGGAGGAATTCCATTCTGAGAGGGGTACTCTCCTGTGTGTGGTGGGTTAATCCAGACAGCAAGGCCTTCTCTGCCTGAGAGTGAGGGCAGCCTTGGGCCCTGGGTAAGCTGATAACCAGAGGAAAACATGCAGAGGGCCCAGGGCCAGGCCCACCACCCCTGGGAGCTGGGACACAGCATAACAGAGAGAGTCTGCCCAGAGCCTGGATGCACACCCCCTTCTGCAGTGACCCTACTGTTCTGCTGTGTCCCACCAAAGCTGAGCGATCCCCAATCTCCGTAGCTTCTGCTGGGGCAGAGGTGCCTGGCCTCAGGCAAGACACAGAAAATGATATGGGTCCGAGGCTTCACTGTTTGTTTGTGGGGATGACAACTGCTTGAGCAGGAAGCTCTGGGGCTCCCTCCGAGTCTGGGACTTCAAAGGGTGTTGAACAACCTAGTCAGGGACTAGGCCTGCTTTTCCTTTCCAGTATGTCTATACGGCGTGGATTGTGGCCATCCGTGATGATGTACCCCCATGCATGGGATGTATGGGATGTGTAGGATTTGTGGGGAATGTGTGTGTGCATGTGGGCGTGGGGTGTGTGGGAAGGGTGTGCATGTGTGTGTGTGTATTTAATCTCTAGAAAGCAATTCTTATAAAAAATTCAATTCTTATGAAAACATGGTGTAATTTTTCAACAGGACCCAGAAATGGGCTTTTAATAAGCATCATTAAGCTCTTTGATTACAAGGGGAAGCCAGCCATTCTTTCATCCCAGCTTAGATCACACAGCTCTCCCTTGCCCTGTTCTGTGGGGTCAGATAAAAACTCCTACTATTCGTATTGGTCTCTCCCAAACCCTTTCTCCCCCTTTCCTGCCCTCCCCAGCCCCGGCCCCCACACGGGGCTTGTCTGATCTCGCCGCTCGGACTGCACACAGACAGGGCTGGTGTCAGCACTGACAGATGATAGCTGCGGGCGTGCCTGGAGTCTGAGTGCCCTGTGTCTCCTGTTGTCCCAGCAGAAAACTTTAGGGTCTTTGTTCGGGAGGTGCTCAGAGCTGAGAGATCCGGGGCTCCTTCCTTTCCCCGAGGGTCACTTACCATCACTGCCACCCCGCAGGGCTGTGTGTGTGCAAACCCTTTCCTTTATGGATTGGGTTTCCCCTTGTCCGACAAGAGAGGAGGCGAGGCCCTGCTGAAAGGCAGGTTTCACTCTAGACTGAAAGCATCCCTTCAGGTCTCCTAAGGAAGCTGGTTCCCAGAGCGATTATCTTTCCTGAGCCCGGAGCGTGGTGAAAGGAAGCTGGGCGGGCTTAGCAACAGGCTTAGCAGGCGGTGCTACAAGAATGTTCCTTCGTGTAAACAGGTCTGGGTTTGTGCAGTTTGGTTCTTCTCTGTGCACTGGCTCAGTTCTGCGCTGGTATGTTCTGATTTGCACGGCTCCTTCTCAGAGGTCCTGCATTCCTGAGGAATGGAGTTCTGCCTGCATCGCCCCTGTGCACCCCAGCACGGGCGTATGGGGCATGGGGTACGGGGCACGGGGCACAGGGCTGAGTGTGCAGGAGGGGCAGCCAGTGTTGGTGGTCTTACACAGAAGCCACTGGCTCCAGGCAGCAGGTTGCCCAGGTGTGGTACCCATGCCATGTATCATATAACAGGTCTGCAGTTAAGTCCTAGCCTGGCCTCTTACTGCACCATACAACTCAGTTTCTCTGTGCCTTGGCCCTGGAGGGCCTGCCCTATTTGGAACATTCTCTCTAGATCTTGCCAGCAACTCCAGGGCAGTGGCTGGCCCAGTCCCCGCGGCTCCAGTCATTGGGTCAGAACGGGCAACAAACCAGATAAGCCACTAAACATCACAATTCTGCCACACATCCCTGGTGGACATGCTGCCTTGACCTTGAGACCTATCCAGACAAACTGTCCAAGGATGAGGACAAGAGCCATCAGCATCAGTTCTCCAAACACCCTTAGTCATGGCTTTAAAAGACGTTTATTAAGCCCTACTATGTGCAAAGCACTGTGGTAAGATCTTAGACATATTTTTTCTAATTTTTATAGGCATTTTCCAGATTATATAGCTAAGTTTCAGAGAAGTTATCATGCCCAGAATACATAAATATTTCACGGAAATGCCTGGATTTGAACCCAGGTGTCTGGACTAGAAGCTTATAGCCTATGCTCTCCACCTCAATGAAGCATGTACCACACAATGGTTATCAAAAAAAATTAAGAAAAATGGCTGTCACTTAATAGCAATAGTTCTTTTAAAGATAATCTATAATAATAAAAGCATAATATGCTAATTAGATCAGACATCCTTCTGGACAAAGCTGAGGCTGCAAGGGCCGAGCCCCTTGCACGAATTTCATGCATTGGGCCTCTAGTCATTAATAAAGCATTCGCCATATGGCATCCTAATCATCAGTTCTTCTGTGATCCTCTCCCACTGGGTAGTGAGGTTCTTGACACAGAAACTGGAAGCCCCAGCCCCTTTCAGGGTGCAGGGTTTATAGCAACTGATCAATAAATGTTTGAATGATTAACAATACAAGGGCTGGCAAAAGTAGGTTTATAGTTGTTTATATGGAAGATAATCCAACAATCCTATATAATAAAAGCCTAATATGCAATTCGTTCTACTGGGAGTTTGACCAGGAGTTTGACTGTTCGCTATGACGTGCACTGACCACCAGGGGGCGGTGCAGAACATGGTAGGCGTCAGTGACACAGCACTGGCAATGGGTGGCAGTGGAGGCACTGCTGGCCCCGATAAGCCCCAAGGAGAGCAGGACCACCATGGGATGGTGGAGCAGGTGAGCAAGTGGCTCTAGGCCAAGGCAGGTGTGAGTGGTGGCCCGATCGCCCCGCAGATCGCCCCACAGACGGCAACCAGTGGCGACAGCGTGGGTGGGGCTGGGGGGGGGCAGCCTTGATCAATTGCTCTGCAGGCGGGATGGTGGAGCAGGTGAGGGGACAGTGCCAGGCCACGGTGGGTGCCAGGCAGGTCTGTGGGGCTGTGAGTCTGTGATCTTATCAGAGTCTTGTGAGCCTGGTGGCATGAGCTGGGGCCTGATCCCCGCAGGCCACCCCGAGGGACCTCACCCATGTACAAATCCGTGCACTGGTCTGCTAGTGAATAAATAATAATACAAGACTAATCTCTGTGTTTTGTGTACTCACAATTGTAAACCTACTTCTGCTCAGCCCTGTATGTATTATTTTGTCTTTATCCCTGTAAGATAGATACTATTGTAACCATTTTACACCAAGGAAAATAGAGGCTTGAAGAGTTTTGAGTAACTTGCCAGGTTACCTCACTGGTAAGTGACAGAACCGGGAATGGAATCCTGGGTGACTGATAGGAGAGTTCGGTATTCAACTGCGATGTCCTGCCCCATCCAGAGGCAGTGGCCTCCCCCACGGTCATAGCCTCAGTGATGACAACATTCTCCAGTGAACTCCTGTCACTCAAATCCAGCGCCTGCTTACCCAGGGCTATGTAAGGTTTCTATCCAGAAGGAATGGAGCTGGAGAAGGCTGGGAGGCCAGAGTCATGCATGAAAGGCAGTAGGAAGAGTCACTAACAGAATTAACAAGAAAAGGGGCCCGGCCGGTGTGGTCAGTGGTTGAGCGTTGACCTATGAACCAGGAGGTCACCAGTTCGATTCCCGTCAGGACACATGCTCTCCATCCCCAGTAGGGGGCATGCAGGAGGCAGCCGATCAATGATGTTTCTCTCTCATCTATGTTTCTACCTTTCTGGAGAGGAGACCCGATTTATAGGACACAAGCGGGGCAAAGTCAAGATCAAGCAGGATAATCTTTTGAGCTCCGTGGAGAGCAGTGGTGAAGTGCTTCCATGGTGTTTTCTGGGGGTATTTCTCGCGCTTGGCAAGCATGCTACCACTGGCTGATTGGTGGGTGAGGCCAGGGGAAAGTCTCAAGGGAGGGCCTTTCCTTCTAGTACCTCCCACAGACCTCATGGATCAGTGACGGGTTTCATCATGTGGTGTTTCATCTTATGCAAGACAAAGAAATGGTGCTCCATCCAGCCTATTGCCACAGGATAACTGACTCCTTGTGACTTTGTCCAAAGG